AAATGAAATCTCCGGATGTTTCAAAGAACTGGTTTGCGATAATTACGGAAAAAAAGATTAAGTTCGCGAAAAAAAGCGTGTACAGTGTATATTCCTTCGGCTAGAGGAATTTTTTAATATTTTGCTTCGGATTAAGTTCGAAAATTGAACATTTTTCATTGGTATATCCACAGAAATGGACCCGTTTATCTATCATCATTCTATCATAAATTTTTATCGTTGATCTATTTGAGCGAAGAATTGACTCCACACTGTACTCCCGTTTTGTCATTATATATTATTAAAAGAACTGCATTAAGCAATAATTTGATTTGCAAACAGATTATTGCTGAAGGCAGAGACAGCAGACACGTAAACGGGAGTGAATTTAATTTGGAGAACATGAAAATCGTTTTTTCAAAGTTAGTTCATGATTCAGCACTCTTCTAATGGACCAACGTTTTGCGATGCAATCCGGCTTGATATAGATGGACTGTTCTCTGGATCCGATCAGTAGTATTGATACGGTGAATATCCACGCACTTAACCAGCAAACAATTATGAGTGCGATTACACGACATCTGAAATTCCTTTATATTACGATGCATCTTACTCAAATCCGCTGTCATCAATTGCGATAACAAGCTCATTTCGACGAAGTGTCATCCATGAACTTCATACCGCAGCTTCCGCGGTTATTCGTTACGTTTATCAATATTGCTTCAACATGCACATCTCAGATTTCATTATTTATATGCTCAGATCCACTCAGCTCATGTTTTTTGCTGTCTGTTGAGTAGAAGAGATTTTGAGGTGTTCAGTCAAATTGACGAAACAACTTGCTGGTGGATAGTTTATAAGGTTCATTTGGAAAGGTAATCTCCATCTAGATAGATATCCATTACACTACCAGTTAATGCAGTTGATCTTTTAATGATCAATAGTGAACGTGTCTGATAATTTGACTTTAGCACTGTATGATGCCACGAAATAAATTCATGCTTTTGGCTTATTATTGCGAAACGAGCTGGTCATTTGCATGACTGAGTAGTGAATGTGTGAAAATGAGTTCATTTCTGGAAAACTGAACAATAATGTGTTTTGTGAGAGGTGAACGCTTAGACCTGGTAACAATTTGTCGATAGCGTAATGGATAAACAATGAACAAATATTCATTAAGTGTAATCATAAGCAGATTCAGAATTGTGGCCAAATTCGAGAAACGAAGAATCATCAGAGTGAGCTGATCGATTTTCATGAACACCATTGACGAGGTGATACCGAACGGTAGCAGTTTCAATGCCCAAACAATTGAGCATATACCTGAAATGATCAAGTGAATTTCGCTAACTCAGATGCGTGAATTGGAATTGTGATTTACAAATAAAATAGTTATCACCTCATCCAATAAAGCATTATTTGCGTGTTTATGATATCTGAGCGGTATATTTTATGTTAGAATCGAGTTGTTCTTGAACGGATAATTTACCAATTGCAAATCTCATTGTATACTAGTTTGATTTCATCTCTCCAACTTGAGCAATCTCAGAACTGTATTCAGTAATCAATGGATTCCTCTTGAGTGTTTCACTTGAGAGTTTTGAGACATTTTGCTTAAAAGTGAATAATATTCTCAAATCAGCAAACATGTTCATCTAATCTAAGCCTAAGCCCAGTAATTTAACTTCTATATGTTCAGAACAAAGTGATTCTCAGTTGATTAGGAAATCGCAATTGTAACATTGATCATAAGCTATATTTGTGATGCTTTCAAGCAGATTTTTTCAAGAATTCATGAAAATTCCCAAGCATTTTCTAACATTTCAGATATCCTGAGATTAATTTATCTTCCCTGCGGCATGTTCCAATCACCCTCATCTCATTCCTCGATGAAAAACGCTCGCTTCTCGTCTATTTTTCACCGCTCTTATCTCATCGTGAGAACGATCACTGAGCAATTTCTTATTCTCTTCAACAAACTCGAATTGCATTTTCGACTATTTTTGGTGATCACATTCATTTGGTCATTAACGATTTCGTTTATTATCAAGCGAATCGAATTTTTAGCACCACAGCATTCCCAGGTTTGTTTTTGCTCTTGAAATATTAGGCATTTGAAGTATTAGGCATTTTGAAGGTTGCCGCCTCTTACAAGCTATGAAATGAATATGTTGATTTGTAGTGATAAAGTGATTGAGTGACTCACTTTTGAGGAGATCAATAAGTGCGAAATTGAATATCATAATGTAGAAAACATGCGAGAAGAAACTTCGTCTGCGTCGAAAGAACACGTATAAAATGGTGAAATTGAACAGAAATGCCGCAATTCCACACAAAATGAACAGAAGACCGAAGGCGTAGGCTGCATCAACGGGAATCGAATGCGAACTCTTGAATGATCTGCAGCAGTGACAATCACGGCAATAATCAAAATAAAAACAACCAGAACAGCGCTACTTACAGTTATCACAATGCAAAACGACAACGGTGTCATTCTTGACGAATACAATCCGATTATGGAATCACATTCCATAAAATGAAGTGATGTGTTTGTGATGCAACGTTGTTCACCTTAGTTGACCCAGCAAACTACCAAAAGTTCCAGAAACAATTCAAGTGAAAAATTTCGACTATGAATGAGCTCTTCTCCGAAAGTATCCCAAATTATCAGGAACACTAGATGATAACGTCCAGTGATGAAGTGATGTTAAATCATCATTAAAGCAATTTGAATAAGTAATGAAAGTGTTGAAATTCTGGCTATAAATAAAAACTCTGCTGACTAACCCTGTGCTGGTGAAATTCGATAACGCTTTGAGTTTCTCTAGTTGTTCCATTACGAGACGTAAATTGTTGCCTGAAACGGTGAAGAATTGTGTTTTGTGAGAATCTCGTACGGACTATTTGACGAACAGAGAGCGCATCTGATCAAAATTCGAACAATCCAAGTGATTTATATAGGCAATGAAGAAGCGAGCACACAGCGTTATCGCCCACTAAGGAGCGATAATTCAAGGAGCAATAAAACCATCGAACGAATAAATCCCTTGCTTGCTTTTGTCTCAAAGAAGATTTAATCGCAACCGTATAAATCAAAATCTTCTCGGTTCATGTTCATGATTGTGAGCCAACAAAGGATTATTCGTTCTTCTGTTTTGGCGGAAGCAGAATTTATTATCAGTCAATTGGAAGCTCTCAGCTTAGTTTTGTTTTTGAAGTGATCACCGATTTGGGAATTGTGAGCACAAGTTGGGAATTAGTTAGATTACCATGAGCACTTAGTTCGCGTCAAGAAATACTTCAAATATTCATCGCATGATAACTTGCTTGAAAAAACAAGAGTTATTGTTTGTTGTTGTGATTGCGTTCATACGGCATCCCAAGAATAGATTTATGAATTGAGCGTAAGTAAAAATCCACTTGGCCTCTCTCTCAAGTTTTCCCAATGGGATTGGTGAAAGAGATGATTAAGCTGTTGGATCGAGCACATTCTTCAAACACTTTTAACGAACTGAACAGTTTCTGGCTATGATCTATGAGCCAGACATACTTGGTATGATTTGCACACATTATTTGCTCGAGCGAGATTCTCGCATCTGCTTGAAATTTGGTTCAGTGGATTTTTCGACGGAACACATCGGATTTTCATTGATGATACTAACAATTTTTAAGGACAATATTGGATCGTATTGATCAGTGGTTCTCACGTTCGCGTGCTCCATTACCCCTTTTAATGATTCAGTAGGCCGCCGTTACCCCCCCCCCCCCCCCCCCCCC